TCTTGATCACAATCTATAAGCACCTTCATGGAGAACAAATATTTAATAATGGGGGGGGGGTCTTCAGTCTAACAGACAAAGGTATAAAAAGATCCAATGGCTGCAAGTTTAAGCTAGGCAAATTCAGACTGGAAATAAGATGTAAATTGTTAACAGTGAGAGTAATTAACCATTGGAACAATTTACCAAGGGTCTTGATGGATTCTCTATCACTGGCTATATTTAAATCAAGATTAGTTTCTCTTTGTTTTAAAGAGATGCTGTAGTTCAAAGAATTATTTTGGGTAAGTTGTGTGGCCTCTGTTATACAGGAGGTCAGACTAGATGATCACAGTGATCCCTTCTGGGCTTAGAATCTATGAGCTTCAAGTGCTCTCTTACTCTGGTATTTCAGGAAAGAGTTAATTACAGTGCCCACTTACCCTTGTCTGTTCAGCATTTCATGCCTCTCATACCACCTCGAATATTCTTCTCCTCATGCTGAAGATCCCCTTGTACCCAGAGCCCCATTATTTTCATTGCCTTTCTCTGGACCTTTATTTCAGCTGCATATATTCCAGCTATGATGCAGTATTCACGGCAGGATTGTATTAACTTTTCTATACTATTTCCTTGCTATTATTTATCTCCTTATTTTTGTTGCACATTTGGCAGATGTCTGTCTTGAGCATCCCATGCTGACAATGAAATTCTTCCTTTGACTTTACTTACAAAATTCATTACTATATACAGATAACCTTTTTTTCCCAGCATGCAGAACATTGAACATGACTCTCCTGAATTACAGCTGCCCTCAAATTGACCTATTATGTAGTTTTGTTAGGAGTTTTCTGCAGTTCTTTAGTCATCATCCTCCCTGCTCTTGAATAAATATTTTTGGTGCCCTGGTATGAACCTCTTTTTACAGTGAATAAATGAATGCACATTGCCTATATCATTCATTTTTCTTTGCCATTAGTCTTTAAACCAGTAGTTCTCAAACTTTTGTACTGGTGACCCCTTTCACATAGCAAGCCTCTGAGTGCGACCCCCCCCTTATATAAAAAAGTGTTTTAAATTTATATTTAATACCATTATAAATGCTGGATACAAAGCAGGGTTTGGGGTGGAGGCTGACAGCTCATGACCCCCCATGTAGAAACCTTGTGACCCCCTGATGGGTCCTGACCCCCAATTTGAGAACCACTGCTTTAAACAAACCAAATACAGTTGGTATAATTTTACCATCAATGAAATAACAGCCTGTATTAAAGACTTTTTTTTTTAAAAGTGAGCTTTGTGTTCTGCAAGACCACACAGTATTTTACATGTTAAAATACTTAGGGTAAATGAGACTCAGACCCTATGGCCTCTTTGCAGCACTTTGGCAGTGTAAAAGGACCTTAATGTAATTTCCACCCATTTTATAGCCTCTCTTTGCTGTCAGTATGGTGTAAACAAGCCTTTGTACAAGTGAGAATAAGGCCCATGTGCTCTCAATGTGTGTGCACAAATCATGCTAATGGGTTTTATGAAGCCATATCTAGAGCAGAAATGGTTCTGTAGTGTTTGACTACATTGATTCCTATTGTAAAAGTAATGAAGCATTGAGGCTTGATTTTTTTAAAGGTATTTAGGCACCTAACTCCCATTGATTGAGGTTCCAAAAGTAGATTTTACTGAGCTTTATTTTTACAGGAACTTGGAGAGGAGTTAATTTAAAAGGTAGAGTTAAAACTTATGATTTTTTAGGGCACTTAACTTAGGAAAATATTTTTCACAGCATGATTTGGCTCTTTTCTGTTCCACAAGTTGCCATTCTTGCCGGGGACCCTTATGGAGTCCAAATCTTATGTTTCTAATCGATGAACTGTCTTCCGTGTAGAAAACACTTCAGTAGGTAGATCCCATCTCCTTCACAAGTCTCATGAGTATTCTCTGGTTCATTGCCTTAGTTACTTCTTGCTAGTGGATGAATGTTTCCATTCTTATGGGTGGTCTACATTGCCTATATGAGTTCCTGCTCCTTCAGGAGGCCAGATTTTCAGCTGGTATAAATTGGTGTATTTACACTAAAGTCACCCATTCAATCTAGCTGAGAATCTGGCCTACTATCTGCATGTGGATCAGGCTGGGTGTCAGTCCCCAGTGCCTTCAATCTCATTATAAGCAGAAAATCCAACAGGACACTGAGCCAGAGCTTTTACTCTGCTTCCACTTGGGGAATTAATTCCAGGCCATTGCATCTTTTAATATTTAGCCTATAGTGAAGTTAACTATTTCCATCTCAAATGATGACAGTTCAGGCAGCAGATTTCCCCCCGAAAGTGTTAGTGCTAAAATTACTCCCCAACAATGGACTGAACACAGAATTGCAAGACTTGCTGGAGGAAACTTAGAGAAACATCTCTGTCCCTGGTTTTCAGAAGTGGGATATGTGTATAATGGGCTCTATTGTTCATCACAGATGTATACACGCACATAGATGTGCAAACACCACTAGAGCTGTTCATTAATGAAATCTAGAGCAATTTCTACATTTTATCAAATAAACCCATTACGCTCATGGTGATGAGATGGCAATTGCCAGCAGAGGTCACCATTGCTTTAGATGATTTGAAAGATCCTGTCTTCATTTGCTTTTGTAGGGCAGAGATTTTAATGCCACTCAAATCTCTAATTCCACCAATATTGGACTGATTTTATTGGTGGTGAGATTTAATTTCAATCTTCTACTACAGATTTTATTTCAAGTATAAGTAATGTAGGCAGAGTTGGTCCTAAAATAACTACAAAACTGTATTACTGCCTTAAAACTACAAGTATATAATTCCCCAGTACATGTAAGAATAGCCTTTATAATTTAAATTAGAAGAGGTGGTCAGAATGCAAGAAATGTTCATTAAAATGTATTAGGATTTTCAAATGGTTTTTTAAATTTTTATTTCTTTACATTCAAATTAAGAGTAAAAGGGAGCATCATATACATGACCAAAGCAAGTGGAGTCATATATGAGCTTTTGCGATCTAATCTACCCATTAATACGCTGCTGCAGCCTTTACTTTGCACAGCTTCAGTCCCTACATGAGCCCCAGCCATATCTCTTCTATTTGCTCCTTAAAGGAAGGGCAGTTAGCGTAACACTGACCTCCAAAAACATGTTCAGTTTTTCTAAACACAAATTTTTGATGCACATTTTAAAGCAAGTGGGTAACGACTGTAATGAATTAGGGTCGCAACTGTTTTTATTTAATACATGTGATGGAATAAGCCGTTGTGCTTTGTGTAACTCTTAACTGAAAGCCCAAGAACACAGCTGAGAAGAGGAATTCTTAAATTTTGAGTGAAGAAATTAACACTGCGTAGCAACACTCAGAGAAAGTAATGAGCAATATAGTCATCACTACTTCCTCTGCTATTACATTGTGAAATAGATAGATCCCTTTAGGGTGAGTTGTCTGCATTTCTCAAGTTGTTGAATAACTCCTACTACTTTGCATATACTCAACAGAAAAGTTACTATCTTGCTGTAAGATCTCTCCAGATCCTGCTGAGATTTATTATAGAATGACTCATGCATTTGAGGGCCAAATCCTGCTTCTCTTACTCATTTGGACAGTCCATTTAATTTGGCCATTGATCCCATTGTTGCAGTCCTCTTGAGAAAGTACTGACCCCACAGCAAGCTTGCGAGTTTGACACACATGACATAGCAGTTGACAGAGTTGTTGTTTTAAAGGAACTTCTTTCTGTAATGTATGCAGCAACTCAGAACTGTAACCAATGTGCACTTAGGCAGGACCCTCAGATGACTGTCTTGAGGTGCAGAGGAGAACTCATGCATTTTGTTTTAGCTTATATCAAAGTTACCCAAGAGGCTTTACCGTGCTATGCTTCAAGGCATGAGAACACCCATGAATTATTTTCCTAACAGTTACAGAGCAACTTCCAAGTTGTGGCAATTTGGAAAAACCAGCCTGACAAGCAAGCTTACTATTTTTTTCCCCTAAAAGTTCTGGAGCATATAATAAGAATTTAAAGTGAAGGAAGAAACCCCCAAAGTGTGCACAAACTTTATCAAGTTACATTTTGTTCTGAGCTCCCCAATTCTTTCCCTTTTCCTGACGGGTCCCCATCTCTGTCTCCCTGATTTATATAGAAGAGACACTAAACAGCTTTATCACCAAATACAAATAAATAAACAGTTTCATCCTATCACAGCAGGCAGACAACAAGGAGTTTGTAAGCTTTTCCATGTGAACCTAGAGAATTTGTATCTCTGGTGAACTGCTGCTTCTGCCAATGTCTGATAGCCTTGAATCAATTCTGCTCAGCCTTGCACCACAATTCAGTTCTGATAATGAACATTTTCTGAACTAAGGTAGGATGCATCCGAAGAAGTGGGTTGTAGCCCACGAAAGCTTATGCTCTAATAAATTTGTTAGTCTCTAAGGTGCCACAAGTACTCCTGTTCTTTTTGCGGATACAGACTAACACGGCTGCTACTCTGAAACCTAAGGTAGGATTGTTTTAGGAAAAATGTGGCTAATGTTAAATGAGCCTAATTCCCTGAAACGAGCAGGGTAATGGTGATTTCTTAGAGGTACCTGTGAACATTAAATTAGTCTGATTTAACAGGGTGGAAACAGATGAGAGAGAATCCTTGTATTTGTTTAAGACTGGGCTGCTCTGTAAGGATGTCACAGGTTTTTAACTTAGCCACAAACGCTTATTGAAGCCTTCCAGATAAGCATGACATCCAACCCATATTAGGTCCATTTTAAGTCTCAATACACCAACCAAAATATGGGAAAAAATATCAGGCTTTTTGCATAAATGTTACTTTCTAGTCACAGCCAGTATAATCCATCTTTCAAACACATCTGGACTGCCCCCATCCAGGAGGATAAGGATCAGAGTACACCAAAACCATGTTTGCTAAATATAAAAATCCCAAACTTCTACAACAACCATTGTGATTGCTTTGTGAAAGCCCTTTGATCAGAGTGTTGTCACTCACCTCCGAGCTGTACCCTGAACACCACTGGGAGATGGAATCCTAAGGGGTGCCCAAGCTGTTCCGTAGACTGTAGTATCCTAGTTTGTGGACACTTTCCCAAATCAGATGAGCCATTCACACACACTCTGCTTCTCCAGCCTTATTCACTGCTCTGAGGGGTGAGAGCAGCACTGACTCATATGAGATTCAAGCTCCCCCTGGGTCCTAGTGCCTGAAAATCAGAGAGCTGCATTGATTCAGGAAACCAGTCTTTGGCTCAGAGCCTAAATCCATGCAGAGATGCACAGATGTGCAGTGGAAGTTTCAAAGTGTGTGCACGGGCTCTGTAGGAATATACACAATACATATTAAGTGAGGCCAGGGACTCCCCACTGCATAAATCTAACACTTTATTCTCGGCTACAGTCAGTGACTTTAAAATGTATGTTAGCTTCTGGTCTGCATCTTAGTTCCTGCCTCCTGCACTATACACTGATCTTGGTCTTAAAGGAGCTGCATGTATGTAGAGGGACCATCCCAGCTCCCTGTGGGATGGGTCCTTATAGCAGTGGCTCATAGTGTCCCTCCTCACGGGATATTGCTGGACAAAAGCCAAGATTACATTGCACACTAAAGGGAGATACAGGGAGGCTTCTCTTAATTCTTTATGTGCAGAAGGATTAAATGCATTGAGAAATTAATAGTGTTTCAGGCACTGAGTATTCTGTTACCAGTGTTTTGGGAGGGATACTGAGACATACAGAGAAGACAGCAAGAGGAACTCTGGAAAATCTTGTAGAAGAGTTTATAGACAGACCCCAGAAAAAATCAACCCACTCCAAGAATCTTTTAACAAATCCCTGGTTTGGCCACTTAGGACTGCATTTGCCATTCTGCTGCATGGAATGGCCCTTGGAGCTTCCCAGAGACAGGAGGGATAGAACTTGGATGTTCAAGTGCTTGTTCATGTCAATTCCAATCAGGTGTGTGCACGTGCACGATGGCCAGAAGACTTTCCCCTTAGCAGCACCCATCGGGTTGGCCTGGGCGCCCCCTGGAGTTGCGCCCTCATGGCGCCTAATATATAGCCCTGCTGACCCACCCATCCCTTCAGTTCCTTCTTACCACCAGTGACGGTGGCTGGAACTTCCCTTAGCTCTTGCTCAGCAAGTTTCTTCGTTATTTTGTGTATATAGTTAGTTGTTGGTAGTACTCCAGTTAAAGTTTAGTATAGTAGTGTGGGGGGGTGTCCCCTCCAATCCAGCCCCGGCGCCATGGCATGCCGCAGTCCCCGGGATTTAAGAACTGCGTGGCTTGCGCCAAGCGCATGCCTAAGAGTGATCTGCACTCGTTGTGTCTTAGGTACCTGGGGGTGACTCATCAAAAAGATCGTTGCAAGATCTGCCACGAGTTCCGCCCGAGAACGCTTAAAGAATGGGAACAGCAGCTGAAGGTGATTCTCACGGAGGCAGCCTTGCGCCCCCATTCCAACCCGGACTTGAGAGACCTGACCCCTACGGCAGCGTCCTCAACGCGGAGCGCCCCGGTGACTTCAGCGCCGAGGAAGGACTCCTCCAGGGACGCTCGGCACCAACACGGCTCCTCACAGGGCTCATCCGATAGTAGGCACCGCTCCCACTCGCCGGTGACTCAAAAGAAGAAAAAGCCAGACGACCGTTCTCCTCTGGCTAAGCCTCGAGAAGTGCGACCCCTCGGCGTCTCCTTCCGGGGCCGTGTCGACTCCTGTCTAGATGAGGCAGTCGAGTCCAGCTCCGCCTCTATCTTCGGTGCCTATGCAGCAGTTTCAGCTCCCGTCCACGCCAGAAGCATACCAGGCTGCCAGAGATCTCCTCCACCTGATGGCACCTTTTTCGCCTGCCAGGGAGGAACCCTCAGTGCCGACGGAGCCCCGTCCTCCAGTGCATTCCAAGGGAAAGCTGCTATGATGTCGAGGCGCTCCCCTTCGCCTTGTCCATCGGCACCTACACGCTCCGACAGAAAGCCTTCCCGCTCCCCGAGCTCTCAACGTTTGAGGCACCAAGGATCGGCTCCTCCGTGGTCTTCAGTGTCTGAGACCTTGGAGTCGGAGCCTGACTCCTATCGCTCAAGTAGGAGCAGAAACCGTAGAGCGAGGTTGGGCAGAGACAGAAGGGAGCATCAGGCGTGGCCTCCACAGTGGCAGAACCCGCCTCAGTGGCCCTTCTGGACTCCCTGGGCTTATCGCCAGGGCCAGGGAGGAACCCAGGGCCCATGCTCAGCAACGTCTTCAGTTGCTTTTGCCACTGTTGTGCCGCCTTCCGCTGTGCATACGTACCCGGCGCCTACGGTCCCAACGCCATTCCCCTACGGCGCCGTGTTCGGCTCCAACTTCGGCAATGGCCTTCGCGACGGCGACACACCTATCTCCCACGCCTGCACCATTGTTGACATCGACCTCGATGCAGGCACCTACAGCCCAGGTGCCGATGTAAGCACCTGGCCCCCCGACCCCGGTGGCTCCTCTGAGCGTGCCAGTGCAACTCCCTCCTGTGAGACTGATGCCGACGTTGACTACGACGCCTATGGCCCCGGCACCGACATTGGCACCACCTCCTCCAACGCTGCCCCGGGAGTCACGTGACCCGTCCAGGGCAGATGGCAGGGAGCTTCCACCACTGGCACACGCTTCCTCCTCTTCACTGCTGGACGAAGCGTTGGCAGGGATGTCCATAGCTCCTGTGTTAGAGGACAACAGAGTTCTACAGCAGTTGCTTCGCAGGGCTGCCCAAGGTTTGGGCATCAAGGCCGAGGAGGTGGTTGAGGACAAGGATCCCATGGTGGACATTCTATCACCCTTGGGGCCTTCACGGTTAGCGTTACCCCTCATAAAGACGGTGGTGGACACCACCAAGACTCTATGGCAGATGCCGGCATCCCTGCCACCCACTGCCAAACGCAATGAGCGCCGGTATTTTGTCCCTTCCAGAGGCTTTGAGCATCTCTACTCCCATCCGCCTCCGGACTCGCTGGTCGTCGATGCAGCTAACCAGCGGGAGAGACAAGGTTTCCAAGGTCTTTCCCCAAAGAATAGGGACGCTAAACGCCTGGACCTCATGGGTAGAAAAATCTACTCCACTGGTGGTTTACAACACTGTATTGTGAACTAGCAGGCCATTGTGAGCAGGTACTTTTATAATACCTGTGCTTCCATGGCTAAGTTCACGGAGCTCGTCCCTTCGGACTCTCGGTCAGAGTTCACCGCCTTGGTGGAAGAAGGGAAATTTAGTCTCTTGTGCTTCACTGCAGGCAGCCTTAGATGCTGCCGACGCTGCCACAAGAGTTATGGCAACAGGGGGTGGCTATGCGGCAGGGGGCCTGGTTGCAAGTCTCAGGGTTACCCTACAAGGTCCAACAAACCATTCAGGACCTCCCGTTTGAGGGTGAGGTTCTGTTTTCAGAGAAGATGGACAAACGGCTCCACAGCCTAAAAGATTCCCAAGCCACCCTCAGATCCTTGGGCTTGCATACCCCCGCCACACAGCAGAGACACTTCCACCCACAACCTCCTCAAATGTTCCAGCAGCAGAACTGCAGGGCAATTCTAGTTGGAGGAATGGGAGCGGTAGGAGAAGGCAACATCCCTCCGCTAATCAAGGCCAGCCCAAAATGCCCTCTGGCCCTAAACCGGCCTTTTGAAGGTGTGGTTGAGGACGGCGCACCAGACCAGAGACTGGATTCACCCCGCCTTACCTTTTCCTCCCGACTATCCCCTTTCTACCATGCATGGTCCCGTATAACTTCGGACTGCTAGGTGCTTCGCAAGGTAGAGAGGGAATACTCCATCCAATTCTGTGCCCTCCCGCTCTTCCACCCCCCTTCCCTGTTCCTCTTCAGGGATCCTTCTCACAAGCAACTTGTCATTCAGGAGGTGCAGTCGCTCCTAGCACTGGGGCGGTGGAGGAGGTTCCATTGGAACACAGGGGCGAGGGTTTCTATTCCCGCTATTTCCTAATACCGAAGGCCAAAGGCAGCCTCAGGCCTATCCTGGACCTGCGCGACCTCAACAAGTTTGTGATGAAACTCAGGTTCCACATGGTCTCCCTGACCTCCATTATTCCTTCACTGGATCCAGCAGACTGGTATGCCGCCCTTGACTTGAAGGACGCATATTTTCACATAGCGATTGCGCACAACCACAGAAAGTTCCTCAGGTTTGTGGTAAACGGTTCCTATTACCAATTTACTATCTGCCCTTTTGGCCTGTCAGCGGCACCTCGAGTCTTCACCAAGTGCATGGCAGTCGTCGCTGCCTTTCTGCGGAAACATCAGATATAGGTGTTCCCATACCTCGACGACTGGCTGATCAAAGGCCGATCCAGGGCTCAGGTGGAAGCTCAGGTGGCATTCATCAGAGCCACCTTCAAGAATCTGGGCCTCCTGCTGAATGAAACGAAATTGACTCTGTCCCCGGTCCAGAGGATAGAGTTCATAGGGGCAGTTCTGGACTCAACCCAAGCCAGAGCATTCCCACCGCAGGCGAGATTCCAGGCCCTCGACACCATGATCCAGGGACTCAGGCAGTTCCCCACCACCACCGCGAGAAATTGTCTCAAACTTCTCGGCCACATGGCGGCCTGTACGTATGTGGTTTGGCATGCCAGACTCAGGTTTCGGCCGCTTCAGTCGTGGCTTGCGTCAGTATACGGTTCAGCTCAGGCCCCATCCGGCTTTCCTCCCGAATGTGCCAGGGACAGCTTGGACAGGACTGTGACCCTGCCTCGCCCTATCCTCGACTTGCTCCTGTGGTGGATGGATGCTCAGCAGGTGTGCTCAGGAGTCCCCTTCGCTGCCCCACAACCATCCCTGACATTAGTGACGCATGCATCAGACTTGGGGTGGGGAGCTCATCTGGGGGACCACAGGACGCAGGGCCTCTGGTCACAGACAGATCTCAGGTTTCATATCAATGTCAGGGAGCTCAGGGTGGTACGCCTAGCGTGTCAGTCATTCCACCCGTCTCTAGCAGGCCAATGTGTATCGGTCATGACCGACAATACGACCGTGATGTTCTATATCAACAAACGGGGGTGCATGCTACTCTCCCCTGTGCCAGGAAGCCCTCAAGTTATGTATAGAGCACTCAGTCGATCTAAAGGTGTCATACCTT